CATATTTAAAATGGCGTATGGAAGAAGTAGAAGAAAAGGAAAAAACAATGGAGGGAATAAAAAAACTGATGTACTGCTTGAAGCACACCATGACTCACTTGAAATTCCACCAAGTTTGATGCATTTCAAGGAAAATGATTTGCCGACCCTGTGAGTAACCGTTATACGTGTTTAAACGACTGTGCAACAGTAGCTCTAATCACAACACTACTATAAATCTGATTGTTTACTTCACACATCGTTGATGCCGATGTGTACAAGTACTGCACCACTGTGCGGCCAATTTTGATTCACGGTTGTGAAACCTGCAAGTTTGAAGGTCCTCAACTACTGTTGCTTACGTAATATGACGCCGGTGGAATGGACTAAGCGGTTAGTAACTTCGAGTAAAGGTGTCGTGTGTTTCGGAGTCTATGCCGGGGAGGAGTGGGGAGGGGGGGATTCACTATCGCATCGGATTCAGACTAGTAGGCTTCTTTTGTTAGGACACGTATTTTTTTTTATGTCGGGCTGTTGTCTACCACACTGCTCTTTAGTTGCGGCTACCGCTCTGGGTCGCAGAAAAAAAGCATTTGGTGACCAACAGATGACTCGGAGACGGATCAAAGAAGTGCACGGAGCAGTTAGGTCTGCGGTTCAAAAGACTCCAAAACTGGTTGATTGGAGACACTGAAGAATATGGCAGTAAATCGACAGCGTTGACTTGTCAATTTTTTGTATCAGAACGTAATGCTTGAATGGGTGAGTTTGTCCAGTTTGATTGTGCTTTCCACATGTTGACCATAGCGGGTCATCTCTTCCATTTGTTCAAATCACTACAGGTCCACTCCCCATCCACCTTACACATTCGTACTTTGTGAGCTTGACAGCGATTGGTGCAGTTCGCTTCATCCTATTTTACTGTACTATCATGATGATAATGATGTTAATGATTTTCTGTATCCGGACGCGCACAACTTCATTCTCACTCACTCACCGTTCACATTTAGTCATCAACCGGTCCGGCCTCATGCCACAGCATTCCCTGGTCCGTAGATCGCCTTCGTGAGTACTTTGCCTGGATTCATCTGGAATTTAAACCTCAGTTGTCGGTTCAAGCGGCCAACTTGTTGCAACAATACTACGTCTGGCGGAGACGTCACATTACCGCGGAATTCACTGCACAACAGTCAACGCTACAGGGACGAAGCACTTTGCGTCTGCTGGAAAGTTTGGTTCGTTTGACAAAAGCTCACGCGCGCCTAATGGCTCGCCACAATGCTGGAGATGAGGTAAGATTGACAAAACCTACATATTGAATCAGGTTTGAGTCGATCATTATGTTATTGCTCTTTGGGGAGCTTCGGACTAATCCAATCCAAGGCGTGTGTATATAAATTCGGTGGGATACCGATAATGGGCATAAGTGGAAATGGGACAACAGCTGAACAAACATAAATTGGCAATTCGGTTGAGCCCTGGCATGAGCTGGTTGGCACAGTGGTAACACACGCCTTCTGTGCCATGGGTCCGGAGTTCAAATCCCGGACGAGCAGATGAATGTGCACTACTGATGAGCTCTAATAAGAGCGAAACCCGAGTCTAGTGCGTCCGAGTGTATGATTGACTGAGAGCTGAGGAATATGCGTGAAGTTGAGGTCAGTTCTAATGAAACAATCAAAAAAACGCAGACCAAAACGTTAAAAGGCAATGAATTTATTTACCGGTGGCTAAATTTTTGTTCCTTTAAATTGCGTCCACTGGTTTTGGGTTTCCTACCCGGTGGTAACGTCACCAAAGTACCATTCCGGGAATGTGTGTTCGAATCCGACCACCACCACCTAACTTACCCCATTGTGTGTGTGTTGAATAGCAACCCGCTGATTGGCCGTTTCTCCTTTCCTGAAAACTGTATATTGTATATCCAATAAAAGGAACTAAAATGAGAAGAGAAGAAAAATGAAAAACATCACGAACACTATACTATACGAATCCGTTTTTACTTTTTATTCTCTTTCTACCCAATCGGTTGTTGATTGAAAAAAACCGGTGAGAATAAACGAGAAGCTGATAGTTTCGAAATTGGTCTCTCTTCCCTTGGCCAGTGGAGTTTAAGAGCTTGAACCGAAAGTGGAGAATAAAATGCGCTTTATAAAACTTCCATTCAAAGGTGATGTCGCCGCTAAAAGAATCAGAGTTTTATCCGCCGCAGTGAAGTCCACCTTTAATGCCGCGCAGTTACGATGCGTGTTCTCTACGTCACCAAACATCCGATGCTACAACGAAGATAAGCTGCCTATGTTGACCTCATCTATAAATGTCTATCAATTCAACTTATGTAGGTCGAACGACTAGGCCGTTATCTCAGCTAATCAAAGAATGCAATCCACGATGGCTCACACAGGGTGGAAGTCGAGCTGTGTCAAGCTCAATCGTTGCTCATCTGGTAGAAACAGGACACTTGGTTGACTTGCGCTCGGCATTTACAATCATTTATTGAGTTTCACCACACTCCTCGAGAGCAATATGGTTTCGGACATTAGCGACCGCAGGAACGATTAGCATTCGACTCATGAAGCTTGAACTGTGCGCACCACGAAAACTGATCCAAGCTCTCGAACTTCCGTGGCCAAGGGAAGGGAAAATAGCTTGTTCACATGACCATGATGTAATATATCTAATATTGGTTACGTATGGTGTGGTAGGCGGCTCTGCCGTCGCCCGGCTCACTACCACGCCCGATCTATTGAAGCCTTATGTGGTCCGCCACTCCAAGTTTCAGGATCATGGTTGCCGGTTTTCCTCTCAACATAAACATGACAGTACAAAATTACATACGCCCACGCTCTCTCGCT